AAGTCCCTTGGAGAAAGACACTCTATACATTCTGTATTCATGAAATCCAGGAGAGAACAGCAGTGATAGTTATAGTTTTATCACATTTATCTTACGGAAAAAGAAATGTCCCAATTAAGAACACAAAAAGACATCTTTGGCTTTTAAGAGAATTGGGTCTTTTGGGTTTATTTCTGTTAGCATTGACTGCCACCATCAGATTTCAAATATTTGGAGGAATTTAAGGAAGTAAGTTTGAGAGATACTGATTTTTTTTCTTAGGTTCATGAGGTTTTGGTGACTCATATTGCCTCCTTCTGTCTTGTTACCTCCCACTCCCACCTGAAGAAAGAAGGCTGGTGGGGTGGTCTTGACAGAAGCATCAAAACTGGCTGGTATTGGAGTTCTAGGCTCTTCCTGGGGCATGTGCAGGCAGTTGCAGAGAGAGAAGAGAAAACAAGGCCCAGACACAATCTAGCCCATAGAATCACACCAGGGGGGGTTCTTTAATAATTCCCCCCCCCCCCACCTCGGTGGTCTATTACAGAACATAGGACCAGATAAGGCCATGAATTCTGAAACTCTTTGTTTCAGGTCTGTTTGAAATCCATGGAGCAGCAGTTGTTCCCACTGTGAGTGTGATAGCCCCGGAGAAGCTGTCAGCCAGCACAAGGCGGCGGTATGAAACTCAGGTACAAGTCAGAGTTTCCATGGCTTTCTGATGGGAGCTACAAAGAAGGAAGAAAGCAGGAGACAAAAATAAAGTTTCCTGGAAATATTTTCTTGCCACTTCCCTAACTTGACAGCTTTTGAAGTTCCATCAACACAAAACATCTCTCTGGTGCCAGGATTCTGCCCCAGCTGTCCTCCAAAGAAGGGTCAGTGTGGACTGTGGGCACCTAGAAGCAGCTGTTGTCAGAATTACTGGATCTAAACAAAAAAAAAATTCTGACCTGGCTCTAATGGCAGGTGGGGTTTGTCTTTGTCATAAATAACAAAGCAGAAGAGATCCATCCCAAGACTTGAGGCAGGTTTCTCATTGCATACATGTTTTTGGTATCTGCTATATGCCTGATTCTGTGCTGCCATGTGAAATATAAAAGACATAGGACATGGCCTCAATCCTCAAAGAATTAATAACCTTAGAAGCATATGCATTTTATAGTTGGAGGACAGTCGGTGAAAATAAGTCATGGAATGCTAAATTAAATATATTTAATGTGTGTTAGAGTATATTACAGACATATGGGAGAGACAGAAGTCAGTGTTTGCTTCATGGAGGTGATCCCTGAAGGACTGAAATCGGCAGGGAAGAAGAGGTTAGGGTATTCCAAATGGGAGGGACAGTAGGAACGGCGATATGGACAGTGCTAACGAGCACAGTCTGTCTGTACACTGGCCTCACTTGGGAAGAGGGTGTTAGGGAGCAATCATTTTTTAGAAATGTAAATAGACTGAAGGATGAAAAATCAGGTTACCTCATTTTTGTAAGACCTCCTGGCTGTTTCTTAGGATGTTGGGTGGTAATTCATTTTCCACATCTTTATACTGCTTTCAACACCTACCATATTTCAGTTCCATGTTCTCATTGATGTCACCTTCCCCTTTTGCCAAATTGAGCTTAATATAATCTTTCTGCTTCTACGTGCACTGTTTCACTGCACTGAGTTTTTCACTAGATATCGTTTCAAAATTATAAAGAAATAAGCAACCAGTTGGATTATGAAACAAATTATAAAAATAGGCTGTAAAATCTCACTTCTCCTGAAATCATAATAGACTACATACTCATCTTTCCAAGGTGGATTAAGAGCAAGTTCTAGGATAATATTTGAGATCCCTTGTAGGCCTCGGTTTGTCACCTGATTTTTTCCTGGAATAGGACATACAATGGCAAGAAAGATGGCTTGGTTTGACAGGTTCTGAATTCTGACATGTTTTCTTTTTTAGGTACAAACTCGACTTCAGACCTCCCTTGCCAACTTACATCAGAAAAGCAGTGAAATTGAAATTTTGGCTGTAAGTCGCTTTCTTTTGAAACGTTTTGAGGATTGCTTCTGTCTATGCTGTCAAAGTAGTTTCTTCAGAGGTCGGGGTGCTCAACATCAGCCATATTGGGCTTCAAGCCTATTATTACTGATGTGAACCACATGTAATCTAAATCTGTGAAAAACTGGGGAGAATTGAAGGTTTTGCTTGTTTCTCCTTTCTTCCTTGAAAGATGAGGGAGTAAAAATGAAAATCATTTTTCTAAATATTTCAGGCCTTTGCCTCACTAAGCCTATACTGAGTACAAGTGGCAGTGTCCAACCTCTGGCGTGTAACTTGTGAGGACCGGGTATTAGTTCACCAGTGCTTAGATCTTATTGCTGCATGGTTCATTAAGTCGGCTTTATAGCACCGTAGCATCCCAGACTCTGCTAGCTCTATTCATGTTGCTCCAGCCACAGTGACACCATCGTCACAAGTCAATATGTGCTACCTGGGGTTCTCTGATAATGACGTACATTTCTGTATACTGACAGGTGGATTTACCCAAAGAAACAATCTTACAGTTTTTATCATTAGAGGTAAGCAAGATAACTCTTCTGCATTGTTTTCAAAATCCCAAAGCTTTGCTGTTAATTTGCCAAAAGAAAATTGAAAATGGCATTATTTTCTTAGTCATATCAAATGTTTTTTTCTGGCAGTTCCAGGAATTTGGTAGCATTGTTCCTTTTATGTGACATATATTAATTAGTAAATGAGATTTTGAAAGAATCATACTTTTCTAGTGACGTTCTTTTAAATTTCAGATTAACAAATACCTAGTGCTTTTACTGAGTGTCAGGCTCTGGCAGGCCTTGTTCTAAGCATTTTACAAATATTAACTCATTTAATAACCCTGAGAGAGAGGTATCATTAGTATCCCCATTTTACAGATAAACAGAAGCATTTTATGGAGAACAGAAGTAGAGAGATTAAATATTTTACTTGAGGTCACCTAACTAGTAAGTAGCAGAGCTGGGATTTAAACCTAGGCAGACTAATGGAATGTATGTTCTTAACCACTGTACATACTCTTCTGCCTTGAACAAACCTTCATTCCAACTAAGGAAGCTAATTTGTAGAAGCAGAACTATATGAAAGATCTTTTTGTAAAAATTTAGGTCCTTATAAGAACTTTTTAAAATTTAAGCATTAAACCTTTGCTATTAAGACTGCTCAATTATAATCATGGCTCTAGGTGATTTTTGCAACATGTCATATCAAATACTTTGTAACTAAACACAGATTGGTCACAGATTAGATGAAAAATGAACTTTGCCCCAGAACTAACATTTCATACTACATTTTTTGTGGTCTTGTAAATAAGCATGTACCACTATACCAGCAATGTATTGCCTTATGATCCATTTAAATGGATGCACATCAGAGGCGGTTATCTCCGACACAAAGTTAACAGTAGGCAGAAATAACTCGTCTAACGTCACATTGGCACACGGGCTGCAGCATCGTTATCAGGATCTAGTAAGGTGTCTGTTGTAAAGAAAATTGATGCTTCAGAGGAGCATGCTCGGCAGTTTCCCCACCAGTTCTATCTCCCTATAATGATTTCTTCAGTATACCTAAGGGAGGCATTGCACTGGCATTTCATTAGTGACCCAGAAAAAGCCAGTTAATAAACCCTAGTACCTGTTGTGAAGTCTTATCTATTTTTTTCCTAGTGGGATGCTGATGAACAGGCATTTAACACAACAGTGAAGCAGCTGCTGTCACGCCTGCCAAAGCAAAGATACCTCAAATTAGTCTGCGATGAAATTTATAACATCAAAGTAGAAAAAAAGTAAGTTATCCTGTTAGCATCACAAATTTCAGCATGGGTTAAAATTCAAGGAGGGGTTTTAAAGTGACATGTTTTGTCTTGTTGAGGTTTGATGGTTGATAGGCTATTACAACTGCAACTGGTAACCAGTAAATCTTGCTCAGGACTGTGAATCAGTCACAGTATTGTCAATAACACAACACAGAGGTCCCAGAAGTAGCTATCCCAGCTATAATTTTAATCATCCAGTTAACCCCTAGAAATGTTTAAATGATAGCTGTGACTTTGCTTTATGTCCTCATGCCAGACGCCAGTTGTTCATGTTACCTTCCACTTAAAAGGCAACGATAAAGCCTGTGAAGCAAATGGTGGTCTCCTTGTGTACAACCTTATACTGTAGCCCCTTGCCACTCACAGCTTCTATAAAATTTGTATAATGTTTTAGGGCCCAGCCTTCCATCTTATTTTCGATTAAACAAAACTACAGTTGTGTTCTAAAAATAATTTATTTACCTGTTCTTTACCCATTGGATTGACCTTGCCTTTTCCTTTCTTTTGCAGGGTGTCCGTGCTATTCCTATATAGCTACAGAGATGATTACTACAGAATCTTATTTTAATCCTAAAGAACAGTCATTACACTGTTCAGACAGGAATGTATACTATAAAATATTGTACAGTCATTGTAATTTTAAATTACATTCTAAGTAGCTGTCCTAAAAGTTGAGCTGTTTTTATATGTAATATATTATAAATTTATCTTTTTGAATAAATGCTTTCAGATATCTGCTGCTTTTTAATCGCAAATTTAGTAACATTAAAGGTTTTGTGGAGCTAGAACAAGAAAAAGCCTTGTTCCTCCCCTCAGCCCTAATGACTAAACACATGAAAATGTCCAAATTGAAGGGCATAAAGAAATCAAATATCATTAACTTGTAATCTTTATTCTTGAATTTGTAATATGCTCATTCTAAGGTATTTAAGCAAACAGTACTCATTCAAGTTTGCTAAAGGAACTATGATGACAAAATTATATAGCCAGTTGGGAAGAATACCCATGAACTAACACAACTTTTTATAAAATTGTCAAGTTTCAACTCCAGTAACCTAGAAAACAAGACTAAAACCTATTCACAATCACATCATTCTAGAATTAGTAGTTATTGCCAGAAACTATTACTATAGGGTAGGAAAAGGAATAAATAAGAGATGGCCAGTGCTGATAAATAGACAGGTTTAATGATACATTGCTCTTTAACAACATATGACTACAGAGACAAACTAGAATCCAGGAATATACAACTATGCAACACAGACCAATTAGCCAGATCTAAGATAAAATGGCTTCTTACAACTACCCTGTAAACATCACAGCACTTTTTCCATCCAAAATGACCCTAATCTCACAAGAAACAGCTATTGTAGGGGAACAAGAAACCTAGCTCTGTGATCGAAAGGAAAAACAGCAATTAGTAGTTAGTTGCTGAAAGCAAGGAATCTGGTGCCCTTCACTGTGCTGCTTTGGTCTTCTTACTCTTGCTCTTTTTGTCCCTCTTCTTCAGTCCATCCATGTTGGCTCTCAATAGGTTTGAATAAGCCTAAAAGACAGAGCATGACCTTAGAGGGAAGGGATGTGAATTGGTGGAGCAGCTGCCCCATTTCCATAATGGATTTAATGTAGCCAGAATCAGAAAGCCTATCTGATAAAGCATATAATACAGTGGGATACTTGTATTTTAAGGAAATGGTGTGAGAGGAAAACACTCTCATATTCTAACAGCTTCTGCAACATCCACAGTAAACTGCACTTTATTTTAAGCAAAAAGGGAAAACTGCAGGCAACTTCTTGCTCAACTATACTATAAGTAGAGCATATCTGAGACCTAAGACAAAATCTAGCTTTAAAAAAAACTAAAAAGGAATGCAGTATCAGTGTTGAAAATAAAACGTATAGCCTGGTAGCTTTTACTCATAAACCATTGGTAAAACATAGGAGAGAAGTGAATCTAAATTTCAATGTTAACCCAGTGTTCAACATTATGCTGACTCTTGTTCTGAAAGGGAATATAGAGAACAGTAAAAACTCACCATCTGAAACTTATTCACTTCTTTGGAGCTCACCTAGAAAAGAAAAAAGGTCACCCCTATTATCCATATAGGAATCCCCTGCCTCACCCCAGATGATAAAAGCCTTCAGAAGACAACATCCTAATTTTTAAAATATTTCTTTCCAACTTCCGGGTCATGATACACTAAAGGCTATTTTTCTACTTCACCCTCCTCTGCCTGAGGAACAAGCAAAGTAGCTCTGGACTTTTTTCCACATGAGAACTGTACCAAGATGGGAAAGAGGCAGAGGTGACCTCCTAAAGAAACTGTGCTGCTCACCTCTGTTGAAATCTCTTACACGAATGGCACTGACTTTTCCCCCATTAGTTCTGAGAGATGTCAAAGGACTAAGTATTAATTTTTTGTGCAAGATACATTTAAACGATTTCCTCCTCATCTTACTTTAAACCTACCTTCCATCAATTCAGGTCTATTTAAGCAAGATGCAAGGTACCACAACGAGAAATTCCACCTCTGAAAATTCCTTAGGTTTTTGTATTTCATGATACCCAATTTTACTTTTTAAAACCACATAAACATTACTGTTAAAGTACTCTCAAGATAACTGGTAATGGGAGACATCAACTCATTAGTATCTATACTCTGGTGAATATCCTAAGCTGATACTGGGGGACAATCTGGTCCTGCCCCAGCAGAATAAAGTACAGGCATACCTCAGAGATACTGCAGGTACTGTTTAGGACCACCGCAGTAAAATGAGTATAAAACAAGTCATAATCCTTTTGCTGGTGGAAGGTCTTGCCTTCAATTTGTAAAAAACAACATCTGCAATAAAGTAAAGCTCAATAAAACAAGGTATGCCTGTATTCATTTGGAATCCAGGGAGTCTTCTTGTTTTGCCACTCTCCACCTTGAGAGGGAACACTAAGGCTTTTGACTAAATTTATACTCTCTCTAGTACCAGGCATAACATAGCAACATTCTTGCTACATGAACCTCAAAGATAAAGGAATAATCACCTTAAAAGCATCATCTGGGACCAGAAACTGTTCACTGAAGGTACAGCGCAGCAAGTAAAAGGATTAAGTAATCACATACTTATGCCAACTGCTCCTTACAGGGTTATTATGAGTAAGGACCAATTTGCTCATTTCCACAAAAATCTCAGAACAAATGTTTGACTTCTACTTTCATTTCAATTGTGCCCCTGAGTTTTCTACTACTAAGGTGATAACAGAAGGCCCTGATCCCAAAACAACTAGGGAGCTACAAAATTACTAGCCTTTACTTAAAACCTGGTTCAAATATGCCCCATCCTCAGTTAAGTTTTAAGTCTTTAAACTCCAAAATTGTAGTGCTAGGAATTCAACTCACCACAGTGCTGATCTTCTTTTTCCCATCAGTAGCTCTTAACAGACACTTGTTGTCTGAGGGCTCAAAGCCCTCCACGGAACCTTTCCTAGGGACAGGTTTAGTTCTACCATCATCTGCATGAAAAATACATCTTGGTGAACACAGCTACAGACGTTAACAAGCAGTTATAAGTTAAAAAGTTAAGTAGGGAAGGGCTATGAAGCTCTACTCCACTAGCACTGCTCTACTTCCGTTAACTGCCTCTGCCATAATCGACGGTTTGGCCAAACCTTGGGAAACTACCTGCTACTTCTACGACGAGAATACTGTAATATCTGAACAGATTAAATCCCACTAATAGTGGGATGTGAGATCCGTGACAAAAAAAAAAAAGGGAGAGAGAGCCCTGACATGCTGGGACCCACTGTAAATGGAAACGGCTTAAGTAGCTAAGTGTTGGGAGCTGCACCAGCAACAACCCCTAATATCTTCCAGTCCCTCAGCCCTGAATGTGCCTAGTACAAAGGTGGAGTAAAGTAAGGAAGGGCGAGGATGCGCCGCAGACTCCGTTCATGGCTCCTAGACACTGGACACCCAGGCCGGGGTATAGCTCAATCTCCCAGCTTCCTTCCGGCCTTGCCGTATAGACAGCTGCTTACACTTCTTCAAGGTGATGAAGACGCTGCCCGACAACCGGCACTTCTGAAAGAGCCTAGTCAGCTCCGTCAGGAACTGGAACACACAAAAAAATCCAGCCCCATTAAGCAGCCCCAAGGCCGCGCCGCGTCAAGTCCCAGTTCCGCCCGCAGAAGGATAGAGAGGTCCCGAGCTAAACCCCAAACCGCATCTGTCCCTTGGCCGACCAACTCTGACTATACCTGCTCGCTCTCGAGCAGCACCATCCCGGTTCCGCTGGATCCGCGGGATCCGCTCGGAGAGCATAAGATCCAAGCAATTGGAGCCGGAAGTTCCGCCCAAGATGGGCGGGACTTCCGCTATCAGGTTTCAACTCTATTCCACCAATCCCTGCCTCTAACCTCTCTCCGCCCCGTCTCTGGGACGCCCCCTCCTGTCCCGGGGGAGGAACGACCCCGTGGATTTTGGGGCTGTCAGAGATTTCACCGAGGAGAAATCCTGTCACCCCAGTGAGGGGACGAGGGAGCGCGAAAGAAAGATTTGATAAAAACCTAGAGTTGTGTATATTCAGCTGTATGTTGGGCAAGTTATCTAACAGTTACCTCAGTTTCCTCATCATTAAAGTGAGGCGCATAATGGTATCCACTTCACAGTGTGGTTGTGAAGAGTAAATGAATTTCTCTTAAATACCAAGAACAGTGCCTGGCACATAGAAAGTTATCGATAAGCATTAGCTGTTGTTTTCATTATTATTGTCATTATTACTATAAATTCCTATGACAGTCTTCTGAACTCTCCCTCTTCTCTGACCAAGCTGGGTGACCTTTAAGGGCCTCTAGCAAGAGGGATAGGAACCAGGTCTTAGTTTTACCTCTGGATTCAGTCATAACTGTGTTGGAGGCCATGCTATGCCAGTAGCCAACTTGAACCCTAGGCCCTCTGTAAAATCAAGAATTCATCATGCAGTGGGTTTTTACTGAGAGGGTCTTAGCCTGTGCCAGGCACTGCTGTAGTGGAAGTTGGAGATCAGCACAAGACAAGACAAGACAAGACATGTTCCTGGTTTCCTAGAACTTGCGTTAAAGGAGTAGGGAGGGAATAAACAATAAAACTAGTAAGAAGTGTAGCTTCAGACAATGAGTGCTGTGAGGACAACTAAACAGAATGATACAAATGAGCAAAAAGGGAACTACTTTAGGTTGAGGTCAGAGAAATCTCTGAGGAGAAGGACAGAGCTGAAAGCTAATGGGAATAGCCAGCCATTCAGAGATCTGGGGACAAAACTCTTTCAGACAACAAGGAATGGCTAGGAAAAAAGGCCCCAAAAGAAAAACAAGTTGTCCTGTTTCAACAAGGCTGGAGGTGGTGGGGGAGTGGAGAAGGCATGTGGAAGGAGGAGTGAAGGAATAGGGGAGTTTGGAGAGGTAGTTGGTAATCAGCTCATTTAGGGCCTATGGCCTGGTAAACTTGGATTTTGTTCCAGATGAAAAGGGAAACTTCTTCTTTAAACAGGACAGTGACTATCTAATTTTCATTTTTGAAAGATCTCCCTGTCTGTGGTATGGAGAATGCACTGTAGAGAGACAAGGTAGGAGATGGGGAGACCAATTAGAGGATTATAGATTCTTATTGCTGTCGAAACAAATTATCACAAACTTAGTTACTTAAAACAGCATGAATTTACTCTTTAACAGAGCTGGAAGCCGGATATCTAAAATCAATGTGTCTGCAGGGCTGCATTCCATCTGGAAACTTCATAGGAAAATCTGTTTACTTGCCCTTCTAGAAGCCACCTGCCTTCCTTAGCTTGTGACTCCTTCCTCACATCATTACAACCTCTTGGTTCCATTGTCACATCCGCTACTGACTCTGATCCTCCTGCCTCCCTCTTATAAGGACCTTATGGTTATATTGGGCCCACCTGGATAATCCAAAATAACCTCCCCATCTAAAAATCCTTAATTTAATCACATCTGCAAAGTCCTTTAAACCAGTGGTCCCCAACCTTTTTGGCACCAAGGACTGGCACTCCTATTAGAATCTAATGCCTGATGATCTGAGGTGGAGCTGAAGCAGTGATGGTAGCGCTGGGGAGCGGCTGGAAATGCAGATAATGCTTTGCTTGCTCCCCCGCCGTTCACTTCCTGCTGTGTGACCTAGTTCCTAACAGGCCACGGACTGGTACCAGTCCATGGCCCGGGGGTTAGGGATCCCTGCTTTAAACATGTAAAGTAACTTATTCACAGGTTCCGGGTATTAGGACACAGACATCTTCGAGGGGCTCTGCCACAGAAGTTATTGCAGAAGTCCAGGTGCTAGCACATCTACAATCAGATTAGGGTATACACCAGGTCCTCAATTAATGTCATTTCGTCCAATGTTGTTTCATTATAACATTCATAGATGTCATAAAGATTTTCATTATAACGTTGTTTATATCAATTACCCTATGGTAAAATTGATTTTGTTATACATCATTTTGCTTAAAGTCACAGATCCTATAGACAATGTTAAGTCAGGTCTCACTGAACTTTGAAGGTAGAGTCAATAGGACTCATTTTCAATTGGACGTGAACATTAAGAGAAAAAGAGAAATCAGGGATGACTAAGTTTTTTGATTTGAGCAACTAGGTGGATACTGGTGCCAGTTACTAAGATAGGAAAGACTTGAGATGTAAAAAGTTTTCTAAAAAGATGAAAAGGTTTGTTTTGGTCATATGATATCTGAGATGCCTATTACACGTCCAGGTACTATCAAGAAAGCAGTTGAATATAGAAGTTTGTTCCTCAGTGGCAAGGTCAACATTATAAATAAAAATTGGAGAGTCATCTGCAAATGCCTACGGACTAGCACAGTGAGACCCCTCCTATGGGGCTGCCAGCACAGGCTCACTCTGTGATGACCACCACTATGAAAAGCCTCTAAAGAGCCTGGGCCTCGGTATCAGTAGCCTCCAAATCAGAGTCCTGGTTGAGAGCTCCAGGTTGGCCAATCCTAGGTCATATGCTTGAGCCTAAGTCCTAGGGATGGGTGAGAGGGTGACCCTCTGACCCTTTTATTTCCTTTGCATTTCACCAAGACCCACACAATGGGAGATTACAAAAAGGTTCAGATCCTGAATGTTCTTTGGAGTCATGGGGTTAGTGCTGGGGACAGCAAGGTGAAGGAAGTGGCCCTGCCCTAGAAGAGAACAGAGCCTGGAACCCATGATTCATCTGGGCCTTCACTGGGATTAGCCCTCAATTGGACACACCTCACTGCTTCCCCTGGGCTTAGTCATACCTCAATTCCACTCAACAATCAACAGTCATGTTGGCCCCTGGTTAACTCTCAAGGCCATCCATGACAGAATAAACCACTCTAGTAATAGAAATATCCAAGTCTGCCAGTTTTAGCATCACTCTTGGCCCAGTACAATTCAACTACAGAGAGAGTCTTCTTCAGGCTCTTTCTGTGGGAAGTGATTAAAAGTATCTGTTCTGAAGTCAAATGATACGGGTTCAAATTGTACTTCTGCTACTTATTATGTGACCCCAGGCAACCTCTAAAGGTCAAAAGCTCTATCATAAAAATTATAATACTACTACTTCATAGATGTCATAAAGATTTTATAATATACTATATTTTAAGACCATTATGATTGCTCTATTATGGTAAGTATGGGTACTTAAGCGTAAAGAATTTAAATTAAATAAAAGAAAAATTCAATTATTTAGTTACACTGAACACATTTCAAGGATTCAATAATCACATGTGTCTTGGACAGTGCAGAGATAGAGCATTTCTGTCATCACAGATTCTGTTGGACACTGCTGTGGATAGCACTAGGGCTGGCACATAATTAATGCTCAATAAACAGTAACATAAATAAAAACGGTGTTATTATTTATGGACCAACCACCTTCTGTCATTTGGACACCACCATCTTGATTTTTGCCATTATCATAATACCATTTGTACTCTTAGTTAATTCTTTCTTTTATGTTGACTCATTTACACTTAAACAAGTTTCTTTAATATAATTATCATAAATGAAAAACCAGTATCATTTGCCAAAAATAAATCATAAAAATAAGTACTACAAAACAAAACAATGTAGTTAAATTAAATTTTTTTATATTTAAAAAATTCAAAACAATAAATAATGCAATAATAAAGCAAATCAATTTAGAAAAATAAATACCTGAGAATAAATTCCCCGTTGAGAAAAAAATGAAATTGTTGATCAGTCAGGAATGATGACAGCTCAGTGAACAACGAAATTGAGAGTCTGTCAATGAAACATGGTTAAATTTTAATGTTGCCAAAAACCCAAAATCCTACCTTGCAATTAGATTGGTGGCTTTTAGCTCTTGGAGCAGAGGAATATATGAGACAGGAAGCTGGGTCATCATCTCCCAGTCATGCTGGCTAGACACCTTCCCCCTCCTCACTCCTTCTCCCTCATTCACCCTAGGAGAACTGGGTAATGAAAATGGCTCCCACTTCCTGGGGCCTTCAGTAAAGGCCTAGGCAGCACCAGGAGCAATATGGAGCCCCTCAACACAGAACACCAGCATCTGCTCGACTAGCCTTACCTTCCCCAAGTGCAGGGCTGCTGTAGGAAGACCTGGAAGAGAACACTCATGTTCCTTAGTGGCCTGGGGCCTACGGGCCTGGAGGAATGTCCTGCTTGTACCACCTAGGATCATCTCTCCCGAATGCTGTGGTCATATGTGTTCTTTCCTCAAACAGAACAATTGAATGTATTAGGTTTTAATTAGGTTCAAGGGTCTCGTTTAGGTTAGGATTGATTCATTTACAACTGCAGTTACTCAAATGCAATTAAGCTTGGCAGAGTGATGGTTGTAAACACAGATACTGCACCCTGGCTTCCTGGGTGAATCCCAGCTCTACCTCTCCTTGTCTAGAGGTAAATCACCTGACCCTTATTAAAAGGTCATTTTCTTAAAAAGGTGAAATGACTCACACACACACATATTCAAGATCTATTTACCTTATTATTAATGAGGGAACTAAGGAGATGTTACAACCTATTCAAGGTGAATGCAAAGAACAGACCATTTATAGATTAGGAATATAGAAGTGAATTTGTAAATGGAAGCAAAATTGAAATTTCCACAAGAGAGGAGGGATGAACAGAACTCATTTGCGTATCCATAGACAAGAATCTCGTTTGCATTGCCATCAGTTCTCTGCAATCTACAGGGTTGCAAACTAGCTCAAAGGCAATGAAAGGCTATAATCAGATGGCACAGAAGCGTGTGTTATAAACAGTGCATTATTTTCTATTGGAAACACCTGCTAATCTTTTTGCTTATTCCAAATTTACTTAAATTTTTC